CCCCTTAGGACCCTCGGCGGGCTCCTTCCATCGGAGCAGTGGGCCACCTCTGGCTCCCGGTTTTATGACTTCCCTGTGTCTCTCCAGCCGTTTGGATCGGTGACTTCCCCATGGTACGGCGACCTGGGCACCTGCTCCCGCGATCGCAGCCTTCTCCCGCCTTCAGGCAGGCTGTAGTCCCAGCGGCTCCGAGCGTCTGTGGTTGGGGCGGAGGGGAGGCGGTGTCCCGGGACGGTGTCCTTGTTCCCGAGGAGGCACTTGACGCGTCGCCTGCGGGATCGGAGCCGAGCTGCTCCCGCTTTGTCCTCCTCCGGAGGCGTTCCTGCCGCGCAGCGGCATCTTTCCCAGATAACGTGGAGAATGAGTAGTGAAGGCTGCGCTTTATCCTTCATTCCAAAGTAAAACTTGTCTTTTTAGAAACGTCTCCTGAAAGCTGGCGCATCTTCCTTTGCTTGTCTAGGATGTATTTAGGAAACTGGGCCACTACAGGTACTACTCTGGCAGTAGGTCGGGAGGGAAAGAAACGGGAGAGAAACGTATCCCCTATATATTTTCCTTCTGAGGAGCTTTCCAAGCTGCCTCTTAGACGATGGCTTTTCTTTTCTGAATCAAATTACAAACTATATAGGTACAAGTCAGGGTCTCCCTGGCGTCTTCTTACCCAACGGCAGCCTTTTTTTCCCCCCTAGGGCCAGGGATTTAGCTCACTGGTGCTGCTGCTTGCCTTGTAAGCCCAAGGACCCGAGTTTGATCCCCGGTCCCAAAATAAATACATAAACAAATACTTTTTTTTTTCTAAATGCGAACAGATCCAAACAAAAGAATTTGTTAAGATTTGGCTCTGGATTCATAGAGTGCTTTAATTAGTTTTGGGGACCGAATCTCTCTGTGGTGTCTAAGTTGGTCTCGAATTTATGGGTTCAAGCGATTCTGAGCCACTCGAGTAGCTGGGACTACACACTACAGCTGAGTACGGTGGTGTGCTGTGCTGTGCTAGAGTGCTTTATTTTTCAGTGGTATTTCTTTTTTAAAAAATTCATTAAGTTTATCGGTACATATTTTAGGTATACAGTAGGACGGCATTCATCATTGGGAATTTGTAACTTTGCATGATATATCTTGGTTCTTATTTTTCCCCCATTCCACTGCCTTCCCTGCAACCCCTCCACCCCTTCCTATTTATAAATGGTAATGGTATAGTAATGCTTTATTTATTCCCTCTCCCCTCAGTGAATCGAAGGACCCAGGGTCTTGAGCATGCTGGGTAAGTGCTTTACCCCCAAACCACACCCTCAACCCTAGTAATACTTCATTTTAATGGTGTTTTTAAGAATGGCTACTACAGTTTTCACTTGAAATACCTGCAGTTTCACAGTACCTTTAAATCTTCAAAATTTTTTCTTAGAAATATTTATATTGTAAGAAACATTTAATAAGCCATTCCACATGCAAAAATCACAATGAAAATGCACTTTGGCCTTTCCAGATAACCATTGTGGATATGGTTATACACATTGGGTCTTTTTCTTCTATGCTGAGATGAATACATGAGTTTTTCCAAAGTGAATTATCTTTTTAATCTTTTTTTATCCAATGACATAACATGTCATTACATGACTATAATAATTTAGTTGGTTAGTCCCAGTTTTCCACTACTTAAACACATTGTTAGATAAATGTGAAGTCTTTATATCCATGATTATTTCCTTAATGTACATTCCTAGGTGATGGAGTTACTGGGCAGAGAATATTCATAAAGGATTTTATAAAAAATGTGAATTGCTAAGTTTCCCTCTGGAAAAGGTATGCTATTTGCATTCTTACCAATGCAAGTGCCCTTCCCCACAACTAGTAAAAGGAAATTTAAAAATTTATTTATTTATTTATTCCGTTAGAGGGGATAAATTCAGGACCTTGTGTTTGCGAGGCAAGTGTGGTACCACTGAGCTAATCCCTGGCAATTTTTTTTTTTAGTCAGGGTCTCACTATGTAGTTCAGGCTGGCCTCAAATTCACTATGTAGCCCAGCCTGGCCTTGAAATTGCAGTGATCCTTCCCTCTGCCTCCCAAGTGCTGGGCTTATAGGGGTGTGCCACTACACCTGGCTGCAAAAGGCAAAATTTAAAGGATTTCTGTAGGAACATTTTTGACCCATTTGTGTTCTCTGTAACCAAGGACCAGTATCCTCTGGTTTTCATGTTTTTCTTATTTGTTAATAGCGATTTAGTTTCTCATCTCTTATTCCACTCGTTTAGTTAAGGTTATCTAATTGAACAAAGGATTTGAAGTTAGTACCTTCTTGAATTCTAGTATATCTGATTACCTTGAAAAAATCACTTAACTTTTCTAAGGTACTATTTCCTCAACTGTGAACTAGAGGTTATAGAGTGTTTGTCTTACTCCTCTTATAGACTGATTTTAAAAGTCAAATGAGACATTTATGGAAAGTACATTTAAACATATTTTGTCTTCTTGCTATTATTGCCCTCTTGTAAAGAGTTCAGAGAACAGAAGCATTGGGAAGTTCATAAAATATTTAAAGTAAATTTCTAAATTTGAAACACTATTCTGTGATACCCTTTGCCCCACACTATTTTACTCCTTAAGTCTGAAGATTTATACTGCAGCCCTAGATTATATTAAAAAAGTATCAGGGGCCTAGTGGGTATAGCTCAGTGATAGAGTATGTGCTTAGCATGTGCAAGGCCCTGGGTTCAATCCCTGGCACTGTAAAGACATAAGAGAAAAGCAATATCAAAGTTATGAAATTAGGTGATTGATGATTCTGCACAAATGTTAAAAGAGCAAACATTTAAAGATATATAAATCGGAGGGGAGCAGATACAAAGCTAAATAAAACATAGCCCTTAAGCTCATAATAAATAAAACATGGTCCTTGTGCAGGCTATAGGCTGCAGACTGACCAGGCAGCTAGAGGGCATAAAAACTGCTTTCCAAATTTAGATGGCAATTTAAAATGTGGTGCAGCATGTCAACTACTCTAGAGTGTGCTAAAGCCCAATTCTGCTGACTGAACATCTGAGCAGGTGACCTGGGCAGCCTCCACAGGGTCATTTTTCTAAAAAAGGGGTTGCAAGGTGGGGAAGTATCAGTATGGGACTCTAAGAAACTGAATTCTGTTTCAAATCCTTTACATGGGGCATAAGTTAACCTTTCTAAGTCTTGGTCTCTTCACCTGTGAGATAGGGATAATTCCAGCCTGTGGAGGGGGCTGAATGAGATAGTATTTGTACAACACCTAGTATTTGTAAAACCAGGAAGTACTGGCACTCGTGTGATCATCCTTATCCACCAGAGATTTAGCTTCTCAGGAAAGAAGCTGCTTCTTCCAATTTTGTATTCCTAGTCCCTAGCAGTCACTGCCACTTAGTAATGTTTGTTAAATTAACATAACATAGAATGTAATCACTGAGAAAAACTCTTTGCACCAATGAAGAAGATAATATGTAAATATAGAATATTGGGAGAAATTCACTATTTTACTTGGAGTTTATTATTTGGATTTTATTGTTAAGAAATAAAAGTAAACATTGCACTACTTGGACATGACCTATCTCTATTATGAGTATTGTTCTATTTTAGATCCCTAGTGCCAAACAGATAGTCCCTCCTTATCAACGATAATCCTGTTCAAGTTGGTCCCATTTCAAAATGTCCTCCCTAGACTCCTAATCACCCTGTCACCACCCAGTTTCTCTCCTTCCCAGCCAGACTGTTGGAAGGAGTCGTTAATAATTGGCTTTCTTAGTCTCTTGACCTCCTACTTAGACTCCTCCTACTCAGACTGTGTGGTAATACTTTTCATTCCTTTTATTTGATCTCTATGCAGCATTTGCCGTGAAAGTCTATCTTCTTGAAGTACAGTGTCCCTCTTTAGTTTCTGGGATTCTGTGTCCCAGGGTTCCCTCCTTCCTCAAAGTTTCTTTCTCTCCTTTGGTGATTCCTCTTCCTTCAAGGTTGATGTTCCTGCAGGCTTGGTACTTCTTGTACCATACCATCTCTGGAATAATTTATAGAGCATTGCTGCTATCTGGTGTTTGAAGGCTTGATAGAGTCCCCTGTGTCTGAGCCTGATGCTTTAATGGGGTATTTCTTTCATAACTTTCTGTATTTCTTCTATGGAAATTAGTTTGTTTAAGATTTTTAATTTTGAAGGGTAAATTTTGGAGACCTGTATTTTTATTTTAAAAAATACACTTTTCATCTGGGTTTTCAAGTTTATTTGGTAGATATCTGTGATAACTTTTCAATTTTTTCTGTTTTCATGGTTATGGCCTCTATATCATTTCTTATTTGTTACTTTTGTGCTTTTTCCCATTTTTCTTTTCTTTTTTGGTACCAGGTATCAAACTCGGGTCCTTGTGCTTGCAAGGCAGGCAGCGGAACCACTGAGCTAAATCCCCAGTCCTCTCCCATTTTTCTTTCTTTTTTTTCTTTTTATTGAGTTTATTGGTACAATCTAGGTATACAATACAGTTACGTTCATTACTGGGATCCTGTATCTTTACATGACAGGTCTTGGTTCTCATTTTTTCCCCTCTCTCCCATTTTTCTTAATCAAGAAAAATAGTATAGCAGAAATGGATGTAGTTCAGTAGTAGAAGGCTTTACCCTACCGAAAAAAAGAAAAATAGCATGTAGTGGTTGTGTAGTTGTTTGTTTTGTTTTTATAAAATTACAAACATTTGGATTATTAATTATATCTATTTAAAACTTTTCTTCCTATTATTATTATTTTTTTGATACTGGGGATTGAACTTCGACCTTCTGCGGCAGGCAGCAGCAGAACCACTGAGCTAAATCCCCTGCCCTATTTACTTTTGTCTTTATTATTTTCTTCCATGTACTTTATTTTGTTTTACCTTTTCTTTTTTTTTTTTTTTTTGAGCCAGGGTCTTGCTATGTAATCTAGGCTTGTCTTGAACTCAGTATGGAGCCTAGGTGGGCCTCAAACTTGTGACAAACCAACTGCATCAGCCTCCTGAATGCTGGGAGTATAGGCATGTGTCATCATACCCAGCTTCCAGTTTACTTTGTTATTTTTAATTGTTTTCCTAACCTTGGAAATGAATTGATTTATTTTTGTTCTTTCATTTTTTTATTGAATTTATTGGTACAATCTAGGTATACGGTACAGTTACATTCATCATTGGGATTCTGTACCTTTACATAATAGGTTTTGATTCTCATTTTTCCCCTTGTCCCTGCCCTCCCTTCACTCCCTC